CCCCCTCCGCCGGCCCTCCTCCCCTCCCCCTCTCCGAGCGGCCCCTCCCTTCGGGTTTCTTCGCTTTAACCGCGCTCGGTGCTGTCCCTCGCAGGCGCGTCGGGACGCCCCGAGGCATCCTCCCCGCCCGCCGGCCCGGGAGCGTGGGTTTCCGTCCGTCCGCCGTCCGCATCCTTTCGCCGCCCGCGTAGCCGCACCTCCTCCTGGGCCTCGCCCCCCACCCCCGAAACATGACTCGCGACTTCAAACCTGGGGACCTCATCTTCGCCAAGATGAAAGGTTACCCTCATTGGCCAGCACGAGTAAGTGATTTGTAGCCTTCGCGGTTAGCGGTGCTACCTTCCCCAGAGGCCTGCTTCCTACCGTTTCTCTTAATTTTTCCTGTGTCCTTTCTCTCCCTCCCTTTTCTTTCGTTTCGTTTGTTTTTTGCCTTTCGTTTTAGTTTTTTGCCCGGTAATCTCCCATATAATTATAGAAATCCAAGTGTTTCTTCGTGCCTTTGTATTTCCCTATGGTTTGTATTTGACAGACTTTGACAGGTTTTCTTCATAGAAAATGTTTAAATGCGATGCCAGTTCATGTTCCATTGTAGGTGAGATAATCATGTATGAATTTTATGTTTGAAAGTTAGTGAAACGTTGACATATTCTTAATCTTGCATAAAATACAAAATATCAATGAAATCCATACAAATTACACACAAACTCTTGGATGTCAGAGAAAGATATATGTGACTAAACTGGACTTACAGGGTCTTTAAAGAAATGTTTTGTAGTTGATGGGGCTGCCTGTGTTTGCTTGTTTAATGAAGAGATTCAGGACTGGATATTCTTGAGAATTTTACAGTAAGTTAGCACTAAGGAAGGTCCAGAAAATTTATTTCCACGTTTTTATTCACGTTGTTTGCTTTTATGACCTTGAAGAAGTTTTACTTTTTTTCCCCATAGGCAAAAGGAGTGGACCAGATTCATATCTAGTGGTACAGAGAAGTGATTAAGGACCCAGGGTGTTTTGTAACATTTAGGAATTGAGACTGTCTAAATGTCTGAGCTCCATTTTCAGAAAAGGAGGTCTTTTTATTACTTTATAGTGGGCCCCAGGTTCAAAAACAGTAATAGATAGAACCTAAAATATGTTGAGATCCATCAGATTAGGTAAACTCAAGAGTCTTTTCAACTATAACCATGTGATACCAAACGTTGTAATTATTTTTCCAAATCATTTATTTTCTACTAATTCTTTGAAAACGTACTCGTATTTCTTAGAAGTAAGTATATCCTATAGTTTTAGTTGTATCAGCTGGGAAGAGGAATGAGGGAAACTATCTGTTAGATAACATGGACTGAGGAGCTGAATGTTCTCCAAGCATAAAATGATCACTGACGGTTGGTTTTTCCTGTCCACCCCTTTACAGTCTCAGGTTTATGGGTTTCCTTCCAAAGCTTTTTTTCCCTTAGCCTATCAAGTCTACTTTTTCAGTAGTCTTACTTGAACAATCCTTAATCATATATGTTTCATATTCTAAGCTGTTCTGTTTGTCATGTTCTTTTATTTTAACTCTTACTTTGTGTGAGCTTTGACTTTCAAATATATTGTAAGTTTCTTGAGGGCAGTTGCCTTAAACTGAATTTCTTTATAACCCCCACAGTCCTTAGTACATAGTCATACACTTATGAAACACCATATTTCATGTTCAAGTAGAGCCTAGGGAAACTGGGCAGGTTTAAATCCTCTCCAAGATACTGTTTCATGTTTTTTGAGACATCCTTATTTATTTTGAGTTGTTATAAAATCCGAGGTTATCTGATTCATCTCTATTTAGATTTCCATGCCACAATGCAGTTAAATGCCAAATGGAAATGTTTTAAAAATTATCTACTCCCAAGTCATCCTCCCCACACCCTTCAATATGTTAGGTGACTAAGAGTTAGTGCTATTTAAAAGTAAAATAAAGTAGCCTTGGGAGGGCCAGAATCTTTTCCTTTTTATTTAACAAGTTCATTTGGATTAGAATGGGAAATTTTTCCTTTTTACTCTTCTCCTTCATTTTTTCTTAGAAGCAGCTGAATTTGGTTTTGACATATTCTCTATCCAAGAATTATATTCTTTTGTCTTTTTCAGTCTTGGAGATTCTAAATCTTTTCTGTCAAGTTTAGAGTATGTATTTAAGTTTTCATCTGTAAAGGTGACATCTCTTGTTCTAATTTTGGTTTTCGACATTTTCTGTCTACTTGCCCTAGACTTCATTAATTAAAAAGTCTTGCACATTCCTGTAATCCTTTACCAGTAATGATCATTTTTAAAATTGACTTTTAAAAAATTTCCATAACATTTATTAAACTCTGTGCTAGGCATTTGCATAGACTTTTTTTTTTTTTTTTTGCTAGGAGAAAGAAGAATATGAACCAAGTTGATAGAAAATAGCCCTTATATTAAGGGCTTAAGGAGTTTTGCAATTCTTGGGGCCTTCCCACAAAGTTGAAATGACAAGTATAATCTTCATCATATTGGTGGGGAAATTAAAGTCCCTAAAGGTGTTGGGTTGTAGTGATTCCATTGGTGTCTAAAACCTACAGACTGTTCCCACAGATAACTAGTTCAATCACCCTCACAGTCTTTTCTTCAACACCATAATGCTTACAGATCATAGTAGGTCTTCTGATAGTTAGCTCCTTTCTTGACAAAGTCAACTGATTTTTTTTTTAAAGTGTTCTTGAAATTATGAAAATTAATGAAGTTTAAAATAGAAATGTTATTAAATTTTGGCTAGATACTGCTGCCTGATGGCTTTAACCCTAAGGTCTGCTTTTCATTTATTGATAAGAAAGGAGAGTAACAAATTTTACACATGTATTAGACATAACGGCACCTGGTACTTTCTTAATTAAAAGGATTAAAAAGAGAACAGGTAACGTCATGTGATTCAGCCATGCAGGTGAAAGATCTTTTCATGATATATGTTTCAGACTTTGGGAAATACTGCTTTAAATTTTTGTTAATGTTGACTTTTACATTACTGTATCATTTGGATGGCCTTCCTGCAGAACTGTTGAGGACTGTGAAACAAGTTCAGACTCCTTATCTGAAATGCTTAGGGCCAGATATGTTTAAGAATTCAGAATTTTAGGATTTTAGGAAAGTTAAGATGGTACATATGCCATGTATTTTTCTGCTGGTAGGGTCTGGGATAGCACATGATAATCTAACACAATATTTCTGCAGAGAAACAACAGTAGAAACACTAGGTGATTAAAAGAGATGACCGAATAAGTCTCAATGTCAGGTCAAGATTTTGCCACCAGGGGCTGGCCAGTTAGCTCAGTTGGTTAGAACACGGCCTAATAACACCAAGGTCAAGGGTTCAGATCCCTGTACAAGCCAGCTGCCAAAAAAAAAAAAGAGGGAGATTTTGCCACCAAATGGGTTTTGAAAAAAATTGAGGTTTTCAGAGCTTCTTGGGTTTCAGAACTGGGGATATGGGATTATGGGCCTGTAGAACTGGTCCATTTTATATCAGATCCCTTTTGTTGGATGTCTTGTTCTCAGTTTTTTTAGGTGTGTTGAGGTGTGTCTGATTTAAAAGATTTTAATTTTTCTCACCTTTTTTTTTAGGTAGATGAAGTTCCTGATGGAGCTGTAAAGCCACCCACAAACAAACTACCCATTTTCTTTTTTGGAACTCATGAGACGTAAGTCCTAGTAGCTTTAAACGCACATCTGGTCACTGGGCATAAAATGAAAAAACAAGTAGAGATTAATTCAAGGAGGAAATAGTAAAGTAATAGAAAATTTTAAAATCATTTTGAACTTTGGAAAAAGTCTTCAGGTTTCCTCTTTTTATTACTAAAGATATTGTAGGTTTAGTTTTTATTAGAATAGATGTTTACTTAATCAAAAAAGGTATGATTTCTCTCAGCAGTCAGAAGAATGACCAATGGATGAAAGTATGTAAGGAAAGTTTTAACAAGGCATCAGATATTCCTATTCAGTAAAATAAGTGTTTTTTATAATGACTGTCTGGCAACCTGTTTTAGGCTTTGTGATATTAGTCATACAAACTGTATATTGTGGGAGAGGTGAGAAGAGGAAACCCGGGTAGTTCCCTCTGTATGTGTCCTTAGGAGCCACTCTGACTGCTCTGCTGCCCCTGGTGGATATGTGGGCAGAGAACTGATTTGGTGAAGCAAATTAATTTTTCAAAAATTTCAACTTAATTTTGAACTGTTCTAAGTATATGGGATTACTCTGGAGGCTGTCCCATTTCTGAAAATAATATTTCTACATACTTATAGTTTATTACCTGACTTGGGGCTTGAAGTTTAGAATCTGCAGTAATTTTGGTAGAGTAGGCTTGTTTACCTGGGATGAGAAACAAAACAATTGATATTCTAATTAGAATTAGGTAATTCCTAAGAGTGACTACTATGGCAGCATTTGGTTTAATGTTGCTTAGCTACTATATAACCTACACTTGGGTTTGCTTTAAAGGAAGAGTTCTAGGTGTGTGGGAACTGAACTTTTGTGAGAGATATGTGTGTTCTTACGGGTATATGCATTGTGTTCACAAAATGAACTCAGAAATAACTGCTTTTCTGTGTGCTTAACATTCTTAAGAAAATTGAGATATACACACACATATAAACTTAGTGCCTCAAGGAAAGTGCCGTGTAAGAAACACACTGGTAGGATTTAGGTTGCTTCAGAATTATAAAATAGGTACTGTATTCAGTTAATGACTTGCTAATTTCTTAGGATGTTTTATACTAGCCTTGATAGTTATGAGCTCTGACATTGGTATTTGAGGTCTGAGTTCATTTGTATGGGGATATAGCATCAATATTTGATTAGGAGATGTTTCAAAGACTATTACAGTTTTTAAAGGAAACCCTGAGACCTTTTCAAGGAATATTGTACAGAGTTGAGGCTCTGGTGTTTAATAGCTTGATGACCTTGCCTGAGTAAGTTAATCCTTCTGGCCTTCAATTTTCTAATCTTTAAAATGAGAGTTGTGGTGATCCCTAAATTTCCTTTCAGCTCTGGAATTTGGTAGATATCTTACCGTGAATTAGTGTATCTTTTCATTGTTAAAAATTTTTAAAGCAAACAATATAAAAAGAAAGTTCTCTGTAAAGGAAACAAATAATTTTACTCCTATTTTTTAGAATTAACCTCTAAATGTGTTAATGTTTTGATGTATTTTCTTTCAGACTTGTCTGTGTACTTTTTTAGCATTTGCTGTCATATTTAATTATGTTCTGCCTTTTTTTTCCCCTCCCATATTACACATTTGGTATGTTATTTTAAAATGGAATGCCTTGGGGCCGGCCCGGTGGCGCACTGCTACAGTGCGCCGC